GGCACTCCTCATGCAAATGTGAGTATGGCGGACTAAATCCTCAGCTTATGTAGGTTGAGACCAGCACTCCGGCCAGCCACGGGCCTCCCCATGTGCCTTGAGGTGAACCGAGGTACCCCCAAGGCAAAATTTCATCACTAGGGTCTTCCGGAGGTACCCGGTGTCGGGTGGCTCCACTCTTATGCCGCCCTTTACTTCCTCGATCAGAACTCTTGGCAAGGGGCCGACTCACTTACTTTACCAGCAGGGACCGCTACCAGGATCCGAAAGTTATGCCTACGGGACAACACCACGAGTACTGGTCGCGACATCTGGAAAGGATGGAACCATGGACATGGGAGGGAACATCCTTGCCTAGGCAAATACGGGCGTAAGCCGCGGACGGGCATGGAAAGACTACCGCAACAGGAAGATTGCCAAGGGCTCGGGGCAAAGGGCACTACCGTGAAGAACCAGAATTGCACCAAGGGTCGGCGAAAAGCCAGAGGGAAAAGGGCGTCGGGCCCTTGACGCAAAGCTTCGGACATCTCGAGCAATGGCAACCTCCGAAGTTACCACGAGTGACCAAATCCTAGGAACACCTTGCGTCGGGGACGATGGAGGCCGGCCTTTTCGACAGGCCTTGGCGCCAAGGAAAAGAGGGTCCCGGCCTAAGGCTTGGAAATGGACCTTATGGCCTAGAATTTTGGAGGGCCCCGCAGGATTTTCCCCAAAGGTCCGGTACCACCTGTGAGTGGGGACCACCTAGGGCCAAATAGGCCCGGGACAGGTTCGAGGAGAGCAGCGGTACCAGGGCGCTGCAAAAGGCCCGGTTCCCGACAAAAAGACCCTCCTCGTTGAAAACTCTTACAAGGCCCAAACAAGCTCGGGCACAGGCCCGGTACCGAGGCGCTGCAACTTGTTGGCAGCCCTGGGACACACGAGAGTTGGGGCACACTTCAGAAAAGGGCCCGACAAAGTATAAAAGTCAAATCAGGCCCAGGAAGGGGACACTTTGGGCATGCACGAACAGAGGAAGGAGGGACTTCTCCACGGACAGGGAGGCGGCGCACGGGCGCACTCGGGCGCAGTCCCGTGGCCCATCAGGGCACAAGGGCGCACCTGGGCGCAGCTGCGCACACCATCTAGGCGCAAGGGCGCACACGCAGAGGACCCGCAACCACCCGAGCACAAGGGCGCACACACGCGGAAGCCGAGAACCATTGGGGCTCTAGGAAGCGCGCGGGCGCAGCCCCATGGGCCATGATAACGTGAAGGCACACTGAAGAGATAGGAAAGGGCTCGTTGAAGGGGCGCACTAGAGGACGCCGAGGGAGACACTTCGTTGAGATATACAAGGGCGATTTGGACGGAAATAAGGACACTCAAAGGGGGCGCTTTGAAGAGCCAGGGCGCACCCTAAGGGCACTTCGAAGGACAGGGCACATTGAAGAGGTACGTAGAGACACTCCGAGGAGCACGCAAGGGCGCACTGGAAGGGGGGCACCTCGAAGGGTGGGACACATCGAGAGGGCACATCGAACGAGAACTTGGGACACTCAGGCGTTTGTTGACACATTAAAGGTCGAGGAGGCCGAACAGGTACACGGGGACCGGGCGATTGAACGGGTGCGTCAAGGGTCAAGACTACCGAATGGGTTCTAGTGGACCAGGTGGTTTTGAAAGGATACATTGGAGATTGAGACGTCCGAAAAGTTGTTTGAGAGGCAAGCCTCCCGAAGGGGTACTTTGTGAGCCTGGCCTTCCGAAGAGGTACTTTGTCAACCGGGCCTTCCGAAGAGGTACATTCCGATCCGGGCCTTTCGAAGAGGTACTTTGTGAACCGGGCCTTCCGAAGAGGTACATTTCGATCCGGGCCTTCCGAAGAGGTACATTCTGAACAGGGCCTCCCGAAGGGACACATTCTGGACCGAGCTTTCCTAACGGGTAAATTCTGAACCGGGTCACCGAACCTGGTACATCTGGAGCCTTTGTGAGGAATGGAAACATCGTTATTGCAAGAAGGCATGGTCACAGTAGACCTTGAGCTTTGGCCCCAATGGGCGTGGGAAGTGATCTCTGACACGGAGAGCTCTGGCACGGTTCCCTGGGACCGTCGGTCCAATATCGCTGGCATCCGATTGGGAGGAGGATCAGGCTCAGAGTGCAGAAGAGATCCGTAGCTACCCAAAACGATTTCTCCCTCCTAGATGAGGGATTCACACCCGAGGCTGGGAACAGTGCAGAGAACCCCATTGTTTTGGATTGAATGAAAATGCTCGTTTTATTTGTCCCCCACGCTACCTTGTGAGACTTGTGTGCATGTGATGCGGGTCAGTCTAAGTCGACTTTTGTATGCTAGAGGACTAACTTGGACTGTGCAGGTTACAGGGGCCCCGACCAGCCCTCCCGTGGGTGACAGACGCGGCGCGAGGCATAGGGTTTGGTCGGAGGGCCGGCAGAACACTTCTACCAGTCGACAGTGGCGCCGTTGCCGAGGAAGGCTGCCTCTCGGGACTTCAGTCTGCCTGTAACTGCAGAGGCGAGGAGATGGAGCAGGAGTTCTATTTTACTTGACGCTCATGCCACACGTTTCTTGGTACATGCAGGTGCGATGTGAGCACGGGTGAGCGGATGGCGGACGACCGACCTATGAACGACGTTCCCGGGTGAGATTTGGATTTCTGCATTTTCATGATTTCGTCGAGTTTGCATTCTCGTGATTTCATGCATTCTCTTCTTGCCTTCTCCTTCTGATTGAGAGAGATGGTTCTGATCTTTCCCTATCCTTTGGTCAGTCTACCCTGATTTGTCTCTAAGAGAGAAAATTGTGAGCAGGGGATGAACTGAAGGGATTGAAGGGGAGGGGAGAAGCGCCCCGGATCTGCAAGGAGTTGGGCGGGACTAGATAGGCTAGATGATTATGATGGATAGCTGGGGGGATTGATCCACAACACAGGTCGGGAGAGATACCATGCCTGAGGTGGGACGAGTAGAGGCATGGATAGGAGAGTGAGGATGCACGAGTGAGACACTGCCCCTTCGTTTGCGTGTGACTTCGGTCCACCCTAGGGCACATGAGTTGGCCAACTCGTGTCCAGGTCGCGGCGTGGGAGGTAGGCCAAGATGATGGCACATTGATCCAACCTCCTTCTTGACACGAGGGTAGGGGGAGATACACCAGAGGGCGGTTCTTCCCTAGGCCTGTTGACGTCTTGAGGGGATACAGGGGTGATCAGTGGAGGCCTGTTGTGGGGGTCTGTGAGCTCAACAGTCGGAGAGTGGGCACTGGAAAAGATACATTGAGAGCGGCTGTAGTGTGTTGATTAGGTATGCTATATATTGAGTCAGGGAACCAAGTGCATCTCGCAGAGGTGAACGGGCAGAATGACGTGATCAGTTTACCGTTAGAAGGGTCGCGCAAGTATCGAACGGTCGTGGAACAAGGGTTGATAATGCGAGACGGGATATTTATATTGGCGAGAGTCGAGTGTGAGCCTAGGCCTTGTGTTAGAAGGGATAGGGAAAGTGAACCACTTCGAGCGGACGTGAATGTTCGGTTGTACCTGTCAAAGGGGGAGTGGAAGTTTCTGGTAATTGACACCGCCAGGCATTGCCGCGCCCTTCTATGTCTAGCATCTCTAGGTCGCAGGTTCGGGGCACGGATATTTCGTGCGTTTTCAAATGGGACGGGAGCTGACGTTATAGCTAAATACACGGTTAGATACGCCTACGACTGGGAGCTCCCTAGGGCCTCGTCTGTGAGAGATGCGGCCGTGCCTAGATTCCTAACGGGGGTTATCTTTGGTGATGAGAGTAGGCACCAGAGGTTAGTAGGCGTGATCCGGAAGGCGACTCAGTTTAGGACGACTGTTGCAGAACTCGCGTGGTTACTTACGTACTGCCTGGATAGGGGGGTGCCCTCTCGTAGAGGACTGCGGCGGATTGTCTTTCGTATCAAAGAGGAACTGAGACAGGCTGCTATCTTGGGAGAGGTAGAAAGGGCGAGGACTCTGGACAGGGGATCCGTATACGTCTAGATGCCTCAATTTAAGGAAGAGTACCCGTTGAACTCTGCCAATTCGAATATAGGGAACCCGAGTTTATTGGAGAAGATTGGATAGAGTTCACCCTACCAGGACCAGTGGTTAGGCGAGGCGGCCAGAAGAAGATAGATAGGAATTGGAGGTCTGTCCTGTTGAGGCCGGGGGTTTGGCTGTTGGTTGCACCCTTGGTAGGATTTGAGCAAGATAGGAGGGGGAGGCTGATAGAGGACTCGTTGGAACTGGAAGTAAGGGGCCTTCTTTATTATCGAACCTCTGTCTTAGCTAACATAGTTTTCCGGGCAATAGAGCGAAGCCATTGGGATCCGAATCTGGGGGTGATACCGAGTCTCGACTCGTACACTTGGCCAGACGAAGTAACAACGCGGAGCATATTGCGGGAGGAGGTGGAAAAGCTCCGGGGAAAGGAGCGTTGTTGCGATAGGGATTTTAGGTCTATAGTGGTCTCTCTCCGTCTAGCAAGTGCAAGGAACATGAGTATGGACGAAGCACAAAAATCCGGAATGCAAAATCACACTGAAGTCCAAGTATTCAAAGCCAAAGCAGATAGCACATGGAACCGAGTAACCATCCCATTGAGAATGATACAGAAGAATCGTGAGTCAATGTCCATGCCCAACAGGGCAACACCAACAGCATAACCCAAATGTAGTAACCATCCCATTGAGAATGATACAGAAGAATCGTGAGTCAATGTCCATGCCCAACAGGGCAACACCAACAGCATAACCCAAATGTAGCTCTCTCTTGTGAATGGCGCCAGGCACCCTATCTACTCTACAGCCTATCCTACAACTACAACAATGAACAGCAACCAGACAACTTGACTGCCAGCGAGTGATGATGTCAACACCAATGCAGACCTCCACCATCACCAGGTACGTGTCATCTTCCCCACACTCTCCCTTGTTACCCACACAGCGCCCTTCACCTCCGAAGTACCACCTTCGCCCTCACCTCCCCTACACCCTCTTGCGGCCCGGCTATGGCCGCCAGTGCTCTGCAAGCAGGCAGCGCCCTACCGCCTAGCGCTGCCCTGCTTCTTCTTAGCGCAGCGCTGCTCTGCATTAGTGCAGCACACTTGCATCTGCGCAGCATGCCCGCATATGCCAGCATTGGCCAAGATCCCCGCTGCCTCGCCCTGCTTGCCTATATGCCAGTGCAGTGTGTGGGCGGCCTCCCTTCAACCTGAGACCGGGGCCCAGAGGCTGAACCCAACTCGATACAGTTGGGCCCCGGGGTAAGGCAGTTGCGCCTCCTTCATCAAGGCCTGCGGCCAGATTCAGACAGTGGGCCGATTTCCCTTTGGCATTTTCGGCCTCTCTTCCCAGCATGCATTGTCGGCCTCACGTTCAGATGCCCAGGGCCTAACCAACTCAGAGGCCCAGGGCTTTCAGCATTTGCTGAAATCCGAGACTCGATGCACTCCAACCAACTGGCGTGCTGCAACTGTATGAACCACACTTCGTGAAATGTTGCACAGAGGGCTCTTGTCGATTTGCTGGCCCGCCTTCACTTAGGGCGGGCACTAGGCTTGTTGGGGCCTTAGCCCAGAACATGTACATCATGGCAAGGCCCCTACTTGAGGGCTCAATCCTCACACAAGAGAGGGGCTCCTGCCGCAGCCTGAAGAGGCGCTGAGGTTGCCCGTTCCGATTTGTGTCTTGGAAGGGTTCCTAGTAGGCCTTGACCGTCTAATTTGGGTCCATTGGGCCTTTTGGGAGATTCAAGGTCTCTTAAGAAATAGCGACGAGCATCACGCGTACTACGCCCTGTGGAAGGACGGGCCTAGGTTTGGTGAAACGACCCTGGAGCTAGTGGAGTTGATTAGGGCAGCTTCGCCCAGGGACTCGTGGGAGGCGCCGACGCAGGAGCAGCCGACCGAGTTTTGGTCCACACTTGATAGAGCCCTGCGGGAACCGTTGAACCATCTGGCAGGAATAGCGGAGTTATACGGGACCGGGGATTACGACTCGTCGGTTAGGGAGAAGGCGCTCATCGGGTTCTTCGAATTGCGCTCGCATTATAGGAGATTAGGAGACCTCGAGGACGAGGGGGAGCAGGACGAGGAAGATGAAGCCGAGTGGGAAGCGGCAGGGGACGAGCCCGAGTTGTGGGAGGACTTACGTGACTTTCCCGAGGAAAGAGTGGGATATTTAGGAGCGCCGGTGAGATAGAGGACCATGCCAAAGGACGGTGGCCCAGGCTGGGGGTCCGGATGAACTCTAGATATGACTGAGCTCTTGACGGACAGAGTCAGCTGGGAAGAAGGGGTGAACTGCGGCTGCCATCATCCAGCGACCCGACTATAGAAGACTTGCTACGAGACTGACTCCATTGACCCTAGGGGGCCCCTTTCCATATGTGATCGAGTACTACACCGCCATAGTGAACATAGAACTGAAGCAGAAAGTTTATTTGCTGGTGGTTAAGTTTGTGGAAACGGGAGAGTATGATATAGGGTTCTACAATCGAAGAGGAAGGAGGCTGACAGGTGCCCTCTGGGGTTGTAGGAATTGGGTTGAAACAATAGCCTATGCTTACAAGAACAAACTAGAGAGGGAAAAGAGGAAAGTTAACCTGAATATAAAGCCTAGAGAGTACGACGACGTACCTAGGCCGCCAATCCCTAACACTTACCTCGATGGGAGTAACTGGGAGCCCTTGATACACATGGCACTCAGAGAAAGATGTTGGAGAAGGTAAGTGATGAGTAAGGAAGGATGGATCTCGAGTGAGGAGTTGGAAGCTAGGAAAGAGAAGTTCCTCTCATGAAATATGCCGACAAGAGAGAGGGTTGAGACTGTTCGTGCAACACTTAGCTCCTTAGGAAGGAGAGAGCCGATTGCGTACGAGGTTGAAACATACGAGTCAGTTGATAGTGGCTGGGAGCAGATCCGCCTTTATGTAATCAGCGTGCGATTCCTCGCGACCGGTGCGTACGACGTGCGGATTTACCTACCAATAGAAAGGGAAATCGACCTCGTCTATGGCAGATGTTGAGAAAGAGCGAGAGAAGTGGTGGAAGATGAGAGGGATAGGTTATTCTCGGTTGGAGAGCATGTCCTCTGGAGTATCAGGATAAAGACCTTTGAGGGTCTGCCGAAACCTCCGGTCCCTTATGAAGCATTGAGGGATGGAAGGCAAGAGGTGATGGTCGAATTCATCTTACGTTACTGGTCCACCGATAGCAAAAGGGGAAGGCTGTAGACCTGGAGAAGGAAACATAATCCGGCAAGGGCGAGGACGGGAGCTCGAGAGGAGGGTTTCCGAGGATCTGTACCGACTCTTGAGGACATGGACCAGGGAAGATCTGTGTACGTTAGGGACCTCGATCTGTAGGAGGGTAAGGTGTTCAGGAACCGGGGGAATTGAGATAAGGAGAGGAGCTGCTTGTTTGAATGAGCGAGAGGGCGAGCTATATTTCGACACAGGCCTGTTCAGAGTAGAAGGCAAACATGACATTAGAGACGGCAGAGGAAGGTTGATAGGCGTCTTGAGGGCCGTGAAGAATTAGAATCGATGAATGGGATCCCTCCCTTCCGACCTTGGTTTCCGCGGAGTAGGGGAGCGGGCAGGTTAAGTGATGAGGAGAACAGGCGGCTTCTAGACTCCTTAAACTCGTTATCTTACAAGGAAGCAACATTCCCTTATGTGATTGCAAGATATGAGGCTCTGAGGGAACTTGACCTTGAACACGATAGTCTCTACATGATAACGTGCTACTTCCTTGACCTCAGGGAGTATGATACTCGAATCTACATCCCTAAGGTTAGATATAGAGAACGATGGTATGGGTGCTGCTGGGAGCGAGCTGTTGACATCGTTCTGGAAGAGAAAAGGAGATTGGAAAGGAAGGGTGAGACACACGTTTGGAGCATGGAGGTTGTACCTTTCGTAGGAATGCCGAAACCTCGGCCACATTTGACAGCGCTCCGGAGAAATGGATGGGAGGCAATAAAAAATTTTGTACGGAAAATTAAAGACGGCCGGTTGATGGACAGTAGCTCCGCTGAGGCTGAGACTGACACAAGCAGTAACACCGCTGAGACTGGGACCGAGACAGGGAGCGATGCCAGGAGCGGTGACTGAGGAGGAGGAAGTGAATAGGGTGTCCTTCGCCGGAAGGATAACGTCGGTTATCCGGATAAGGTCAACAAGGTCTCTGGATGAACAAAGTTGTAGGCGTCTAGCTGAAGAAGCGATAGATCGGGAACGGTCAAAACTCTTGACGTTGGTGGTGACTGAAAGGCGGATAACTTATGATGTCATGGTTTGGTCGCAGGGATGCCTGAAACACGAAGTAGAGAAGGACGAGACAGTCCAAGAGGCACGATCCCGCGCGTGAGAGGAAGCGACGAAAAGGTTAACTCGCTTATTGAGATTTACTTCGATCCAATAAACGATAAAGTAGTGGAGTTGGTGGATGGCTACAAGGAACGGTGCGGTTCTACCAATGAACAGGAGCTCCTTGCGCTTGAGGAGAGGGTGGAGGAATTGGCTCGAATTTACAAAGGAGAGAGGGAAAAAATAATAAACTGGACGGAAGAGTTTCTGGCGAGGAGAATAAGAGAGATCCGTAAAGAGACTAGAGAGAGGAGGAATGACTAGTACCAGAGGGGTGGCCGGTAAATATCAGCTCATAGGGGGAGCGAAGATAGAAGGGTCCTTGGTGCGAGCAAGAATAGAAGCGATACATGATGAAAGATTGAACCAAGAGGAGGAAGCGAAATCTACTAGGGAAGTTGTTAGGGAGGCTAGGATATGCGCTATCTGGAAAGCGGTCGACGAGCTTCAATTAGCCAAGATCGAGATTCACACGATACCGTTTGAAGGAGAGGAGTCTTACAGGGAGTGGAGAGAGACCATAGCTGAGGCAAAAATAAGATTAAAGGAAGATGCAGGAGAGCCCGGAGAGCTTTCCAACGACATAGTGGACGGAGTCTCATTAAGAACTTTGGAGGCTAACTCGCGTTATTCAAAAGTTGTACTGACCATTGCTTTAGTAGTTAGGGCTGAGGGAGAGGACGCCGACTTCGAAGCGTTACAATAAGTACTGGAGGGCTCGATCGAAAGAATCCTAATTGCCCTGAGGCGAGTATCTAAAAATTAGTTAGGGAAGATGGATGTTGAAGGAGCTTATTTAACTTCGATAAGGGGAGATGTGAAAACACAAGAATCAAGGACGAATAACCCAGACAGGAAAATGGGTAAAAATGCAGCTAGTGACGCGGAGAGATTAAGGAGGGCTTTTAGAGAGTTAGAGAGTCGCGCCGAGGAGCTCGAAGGGCGAAGCTCCAAGAGCGAGGGCTGGAGGAAAGAGGTTTTGAATAGAGCTAGAGTGGCGAGGTTTACGGATACCGGAATAAGGGAACCTTATAGACAGACCCCAAGTGAGCCCTTACTCTATGGTGTACGCGCTAGGTTCCTATGTGTCTCCTTTCCTTGGGGCCCCGGCGTACCAATCTCCGACGCTGTCCGGGATCCAGACGATCTTTACAGGGAAGAACGTCTCTGAGTTCATGGGAGGTACTGGAAATGGGGGGGAGTGTAGTGATCAGGAAATGATTGTAAACTTCCTCCACCATACGGCCCCAAAGATAGATCGCGAAGTTAGGGACGCTATTCCAAACAGTGGTCGTTGGTTGACGTTTAGGGAGAGGGTCACTAGAATCTTCGCTTGTGACGAGGTCTCCTATTCGGTAGAAGATCTGAAAGAAATGAAAAGGGAGGAGGATGAGAGTTTGGTAGCGTTTGTGAGGAGATATGAAAAGGCCTCGAACCCATTGGTAGAAGGGAGGTTTATGGGAGAGCTCGAGAGGTTCGAGATATTCCTAGGATTTCTATCGTAAGAAAAGCGTGACAAGATTGTGCGGGATCTTCCCTCTAAGGTGATGTTTAGCCAAGTCAAAGTCTTGGCTCACGATACGGAAGGGCAAAGTGCAAAAGCACACCCCATAAAAGTTCTCGATAACCTAGGAAAGGGAGTGACTACGGGAAAGGGAGGAGGAATGCCTCAATATGACGATAGGAGGCCCGAAATTGAAGGAAAGGATATCATTACAAGCTCGCCTAGGAGAGGGGAGTTCGCTAGGAGCGACGGCGAGTGGAGGAAGGGAAGCCGAGGGGATTGGAAAAAGAACGATGGAGAGTGGGGAACCTCCAAGTGGTCCAACACTAAAGATAACAGGTGGAAGCCAAAGGATGAGATAGAGGCTAAGAGACCCGAAAGACGAGAGGAGGAAATGACGAAGGAGATAAAAGTCTTAAAGGCGGTGATGAAAAAGTTGCAAAATAACAGTTTGAAAAAGGAGGAGCCTCCTGCTCAGGCTGTTCCGCGGCCAGAGGGCTGGGAGAAAGGAGATCCTAGTCCGAGGCGGACCTGGAATGATAAGGCGTGTATGTACTGTGGGGACGAGGACCACAGGAAGAGGGATTGCCAGACAATGTTGGATGCATTAAAGGAAGGTATCATTGAATTGGATGATAGGAAGTATGTGATGTGGGCTGATGAAGGGAAACCGGTGCCCTTCTTACCCTCGATGAAAATTAATGTGGATATTCGAAGAAGAAGAATGAATGCGGCGAAGGGGAAACAGACGCAGATGCCAGTGGCGGCTAAGGTTTCCCGAGTGACCTTCGAAGACGACTTAGGCGAATCGTCGGAGAGTCCATGAATGAGGATTTCTTTCATTAAGCTTGAGGAAACGATGAATGATGACGAGGCCTACATATGTGCCCAAGGGGTGGGAGAGTCAAGCCACGGGAAAAAGGAGGACGTGGATCAGCCTATGACTGATGAGCAGGTAGAATCGCCCAAGTCATCCCTGTCCCCGAGGAAGAGGGGGCCTAAGAAGCTCCAGCTAAAGAGCACCCTGGACGAAGTAGACCTGAGAGAGCCGTTGAGAATAGCAATGGACATGCCCATTCCCATTACTCTTAAGGAGTTTATAGCTGGGTGTGGTCTGGTGAAAGATGAACTAATAGGAATGATGAAGAAAGCTAAGGTGCCGCTGGTGGAGACGACAACCTCTGGAGACCCAAAGGAGGAAGCAAAAGCCTCCGTCTTGATGGCCGAGAAAGGAAAGGAAGAGAGAGCGGAGACCGTTGAAGGCAAGGGCGACTACTTTTACGTCCTTGGCAGTGGGAAGCTAAACGCCACCGTGAATGGAGTGAGGATGGTGGCAATAGTGGATGACGGGTCCGAGTCTACCGTCTGTGAAGATAAGGTAGCACGAGAGTTTGGGCTAGAGGTGGACAGGAGTGTAGCTATGACCATGGTGTCCGCCAATAAGCTAAGACAGTCGGCGCTTGGGGTGTGCCATAAGGCCAAGGTCGTGATAGTTGGAGTCGAGCCCACCGTGCCAGTTTTCACGGTGAAGCATTGTTCATCGGACCTAATCCTTGGGAAGACATGGCTAACGCGTGTCAACGCCACCACCGAGAACAAGCGGGATGGGAGCCAGACAGTCACCATAGACGGGCCCGAGAGCAGCAGGGTTACCCTAAAGACTGTGAACGAATTTGATAAACGTCACAAGGTCTCCTTACAAAATAGAGGCCGGTTAATGACCAGGAGTTGCCAAATGATCCCTGAGGAACTTACCATAGGGCCCCACAGAGTAAACGGGAGAAGGATTGAGGTAGAAGATCTAGAGGACAAATATGCGGTAGACGGGACAGCTTACTCAAAAGAAAGCGATGATGATGAGTTTGGAGGAATCCCCCCACACGGCGGGGGGAAGAGATACAAAACTGTAGCCCAGAAAGTTAAACCTGCTGCAGTAAGCCGTGTCAGAACCGGGGAGCTAGGGATTACTGAGGAGGAAATTACTCAGATGATCAAAGAACGAAAGGCCACAGTAGGGCAGAGAATCACCGAAGATAGATTGAACGGGATGGATATAGGGGATGGGAATATAACTAAGGAGGAGAGAGAACTAATAATAGAGACATTAAGGGCGTGCGATAAGGCGGTAGCCTTCTGCGACGCGGAGAGAGGACGAATAGACCCGCGGTATGCTAAACCCGCAAGGACCTATACAGTCCCGCACGTTCCGGGGAATGACGCAGGGTGAAGTGTGCCCAGAAGGAAAAGGAGATGATAGTAAACTTCCTGAAGGAGAAAATCAGAACGTTCGTGGCAGAACCGTGTGAGAGCGCCTATGCGAACAGATGGTTCTTCATACGAAAATCGAACGGAAAGCTACGGTGGATACAAGATCTGCAAAAGACTAATAAAGTCACGGTTAGAGACGTCGGGTCCATTCCAAATGCAGATCTCTTATCCTAAGGGTCAGCCGGACGTTCGATTTACTCGGTCTGCGACCTTTTCTCAGGCTACGACGAGATTCCACTTGACTATAGAGACCGACACCTGACTGCGATGCACACCCCATTAGGATTAATCCAGATGATGGTGGTACCGATGGGATGGACAAATGGCGTCGCTGTTTTTCAAAGAGCAATGGTGGCGGTTCTAGGAGAGCTTATACCAAATTTGGTGGAAGTTTTCCTGGATGACTTCCCAATCAAAGGGCCGCTTGAGATGGATGAGACGGAGGTGATGCCTGGAGTGAGGAAGTTCGTCGCAACTCACGCCGAGGACATTAAGAAGGTGTTAGTAAAGCTAGAGGACACTAATCTCACAGTGAGTGGAACCAAAAGTAGATGGGCAGTATCTTCCATTAAGATCTTGGGATATATTTGTGACAGAAATGGCAGGCGACCGGACCTTGCAAAGCTAAAAAAACTTATGAGCCCACCCCGCTCTGATATATCACCGACATACGTCAGTTCCTGGGAGTGGTCGGATTTTGGAAGAATTTCATAAAAGGGTATGCTGAGAAGGCGGAACCTCTGAGGAGATTGGTGTGAAAAGGGGTGGAATGGAAATGGACTGATGAACAGGAGGGTGCAGTAAGAATATTGAAAGAAGAGTTTAAGGAAGGAGGACAGGTCTTAGGAGTTCCTTATTTCGAGGATGAGGAGAAGTGATCGTTTGTGGCATGTACGGACGCAGGGCCTGCCTCCATTGGCGGAGTCTTTGTGGTATGTACGACCGTTTGTGGTATGTACGGACGCAGGTAAGGAAAGGCCTCTCAGATTTTAGAGTAAGACCTTGAACACCACCGAGAGGAACTACTCGCAGTTTAAGAAAGAAGTTCTCGGGGTGCTGCATTGTTTGAATGTCTTCCGACATTATATTTACGGACGAAGGTTCGTACTGCGGGTCGACCCGACAGCGGTCGCGACTGTGTTATAAAAAGATTTCTCGTTGACCGACCCTACAATTACTAGATGGCTCATGCACATAAGGATGTTTGACTATGTGGTGGAGCGAATATCCGATGCCAAGAATTCAGTTGCGGATGGCCTATCGCGAATTCCCCTAGAGGATGGAAACCTGGGGTCGCCTGGAGGGGTTGACAAGTTTTTACAAATGGAGATAGGATCATTAAAGATGGAGCCTAGTACCAGTAGGGCTTCTCTGTTCCTAGAGAATCTTTACACCGGTAAGTATCATCGAATAGGGCGGTATCTCACAGGCGAAGTGGAGGCAGATGACAAGCTTAGGAAGGAGGCTCAACAATATTGCCTCAGGGCGGGTCACCTCTTTAAGAGACCACCTAAGCACGGCATGCCGATGAGGGTAGTCTGTGATGAGGATGAGCGACAAGAAATAATAGCAGAACTCCACGACGGTATCGTTGGAGGGCATAGAGGAGTGAAGGGGACTTTTGAGAAGGTCAGGAACCTCTACTGGTGGCCTATACAGAGACGTGGAATCCTACTGTCTGATGTGCATGGAGTGCCCGAAGAGGGCCGTGGTTAAGTATAAAGGGTCGTTGGTTCCCTCATATCCGACAGCCGCATGACAAAAAGTTCACGTTGATTTAGTCAAGATGCCCAAGGGAGAAGGAGGGATGAACTACATCATGGATATCAGGGATGACCTGACGGGGTTCGTGGAAGCATGGGCGCTAAGGGAGAAGGACGGATGAACTACATCATGGATATCAGGGATGACCTGACGGGGTTCGTGGAAGCATGGGCGCTACGTCAGTGAATGCTTGATGGAGTATATCACCCGGTACGGATGTGTTGGGAAGATCGTCATGGATAGAGGATCGGAGTTTATGGCTAAGGAAGTCCAGGATTTGCTCAAGAGAGCGGGAATCCGAGTGTCGTTATCCACGGTATACCACCCTCAAACTAACGCTCATGTAAGGAGGGGGCATCATTCTCTAGTAAATGCGCTTGCCAAATGGTGCGAAGGGAGGGAGAAGAAGTGGCCGAAGTATCTGAGATTCGCCGTCTGGGCAGATAATGTTACATTTCGATCGACCACTGGGTACCCGCCATACACTTTATGGTTCGGGAGGCATTGTCCTTTACCCATAGAATTTCGTATGGATTCCTTAACGAAGATTGATTGGGAAGAAGTGTCGACCAGGGAGCAGTTATTGGGCGCTAGGATTAAGCAGATAGTTGAAACCCTCGAGGATAGCACCCTGGACGTTGTACAAAAGCTAAAAACCCAGAGGGAAAAGGAGAAGGAAAGATGGGACAAAAAACGTCGAGTCAGGCAGGATGGAATACCAGCGGAAAACCTGGTCTTACTCTACAACTCCGCTCTGGAGAGAACGTGGGCAGGAAAGCTAGCGAATAGATGGATGGGGCCCTACCGTGTGGTTAAGAGACTAGAAGGCGGAGCCTACCTGCTTCAGGAATTGGACGGGACTAGATGGAAGGAATCGGTGTCGGGAGCCCGCTTAAAAGTATTTAAAGATCGAAAAGAAACCACCCTATATCCGAAAAAGGTTAAGGAGAAGGAGGGGGTCCGCGAGAGATCAGAGAAGTCCAAAGAACCTGCGGAGGATCGTGAGTCCCTCACCTATGAAGTAGGAGAATCTTCTAAGAGATCCACGGAAAGGGGGCGAGAAAAAGTCTTAGGGGTCTGAAATAGCCGATGAAAAGACACAAAGAAAAAGGGGCAAAAGATCTTAGAATCGGCTACCCTGAGACGGGAGAAGAAGTGCAAGGGTAAGGAAGCCATTAGAAGTATGTTAGTAGTTGATAAGGAAGAAAACGAACACTGCCGCGAGAAGAGACAACGGAGCGTCAAAAAACAATTAGGGGTCAAAAAGAGGATGATTAAGAAAAAGCGAGACAAGAAAAATAAGCAAGAGAAAAGGACCCGACGAAAGCGATAAGGACAATTTTGGGTTGATGGGTAGAGATTAGGAGTCAGCATTTTCTCCGTTCTCTTTTCTTGGTATACCAAGATGGCTCGCCGGGGACGTCGAGAATGGGGGGGGGGGGGCTGCTGTCGGGCGGCTCCACTCTTATCATCTTATGTTGCCCTTTACTTCCTCGATAAGGACTCTTGGCAAGGGGCCGGCTCACTTACTTTACCAGCAGGGACCGCTACCAACTCACTTACTTTACCGGCAGGGACCGCTACCAGGATCCAGAAGTTATGCCTACGGGACAACACCACGAGTACCGGTCGCAACATCTGGAAAGGATGGAACCATGGACATGGGAGGGAACATCCTTGCCTAGGAGAATACAGGCGTAAGCCGCGGACAAGTATGGAAAGACTACTGCAACAGGAAGATTGCCAAGGGCTCGGGGCAAAGGGCACTACCGTGAAGGACCAGAATCGCACCAAGGGTCGGCGAAAAGCCAGAGGGAAAAAGGCGTCGGGCCCTTGACGCAAAGCTTCGGACATCTCGAGCAATGGCAGCCTCCGACGTTACCACGAGTGACCAAATACCGGGAACACCTTGCATCGGGGACAATGGAGGCCGGCCTTTTCAGCAGGCCTTGGCGCCAAGGAAAAGAGGGTCCCGTCCTAAGGCTTGGAAATGGGCCTTATGGCCTAGAATTTCGGAGGGCCCCACAGGATTTTCCCCAAAGGTCCGGTACCACCTGTGAGTGGGGACCACCTAGGGCCAAATAGGGCCCGGGACAGGTTCGGGGAGAGCAGCGGTACCAGGGCGTTGCAAAAGGCCCGGTTCCCGACAAAAAGGCCCTCCTCGCTGAAAACTCTTAGAGGGTCCAAACAAGCTCGGGCACAGGCCCGGTACCGGGGCGCTGCAACTTGTTGGCAGCCCTGGGACACACGAGAGCAGGGGCACACTTCGAAAAAGGGCCCGACAAAGTATAAAAGTTGAACCGGGCCCAGGACGGGGACACTTTGGGCATGCACGGACAGAGGAAGGAGGGACTTCTCCACGGACAGGGAGGCGGCGCACGGGTGCACTCGGGCGCAGTACCGTGGCCCATCAGGGCGCAAGGGCGCACACTCAGAGGACCCGCAACCACCTAAGCACAAGGGCCCACACACGCGGAAGCCGAGAATCATTGGGGCTCTAGGGAGCGCGCGGACGCAGCCCCACGGGCCATGAGAACGTGACGGCACACTGAAGATACACGAAACGGCTCGTTGAAGGGGCGCACTAGAGGACGCCGAGGGAGACACTTCGTTGAGATATACAAGGGCGCTTTGGACGGAAATAAGGACACTCGAAGGGGGCGCTTTGAAGAGCCAAGGCGCACCCTAAGGGCACTTCGAAGGACTGGGCACATTGAAGAGGTACGTAGAGACACTCCGAGGAGCACGCAAGGGCGCACTCGAAGGGGGGCACCTCGAAGGGTGGGATACATCGAGAGGGCACAACGAACGAGAACTTGGGACACTCAGGCGTTTGTTGACACATTAAAGGTCGAGGAGGCCGAAGAGGTACACGGGGACCGGGTGATTGAACGGGCGCGTCAAGGGTCAAGACTACCGAGTGGGTTCTAGTGGACCAGGTGGTTTTGAACGGATACATTGGAGATTGAGACGTCCAAAGAGGTGTTTGAGAGGCAGACCTCCCAAAGAAATACTTTGTGAGCCGGGCCTTCCGAAGAGGTACTTTGTGAACCGGGCCTTCCGAAGAGGTACATTCCGATCCGAGCCTTCCGAAGAGGTACTTTGTGAACCGGGCCTTCCGAAGAGGTACATTCCGATCCGGGCGTTCCGAAGAGGTACATTCCGAATAGGGCCTTCTGAAGGGGCACATTCTGGACCGAGCTTTCCTAACGAGTACATTCTGAACCGGGCCACCGAACCTGGTACATCTGGAGCCTTTGTGAAAAACGAAAACAACGTTATTGCAAGAAGGCATGGTCACAGTAGACCTTGAGCTTGGGCCCCAATGGGCAAGGGAAGCGATCTCTAACACGGAGAGCTCTAGCACGGTCCCCTGGGACCGTCGAATCCGATATCGCCGGCATCCGATTGGGAGGAGGATCAGGCTCAGAGTGCAGAAGAAATCCGTAGCTACCCAAACCGATTTCTCCCTCCTAGATGAAGGATTCACACCTGAGGCTGGGAACAGTGCAGAGAACCCCATTGTTTTGGATTGAATGAAAATGCTCGTTTTGTTAGTCCCCGACGCTACCTTGTGAGACTTGTGTGCATGTGACGCGGGTCAAACTTTTGTATGCTTGAGGACTAACGTGGACTGTGCAGGTTACAGGAGCCCCGACCAGCCCTCCCGTGGGTGACAGACGTGGCGCGAGGCATAGGGTTTGGTCGGCGCGCCGGCAGAACACTTCTACCGGTCGACACCGGGCCTTATTTTGGCCAAGTTCATG